GGGGGGGGGTAGAGGGGAATCCACTGAAATCTGTTGGTACACATTCAGTTTGCTGCATTCCAGATCGACGAAATGAGTGATTGCTCGTGTTTGATCCCGTCTGTGTTATCATTTGTCAGTGTGCTGTTGTGTTGTGGTTGTTTTTCTTTTTTTTTCCCAGTTGCGGGAGCAGTTAGCGACAGATGATCCAGTGACGCCAAGGACCATTCAGGCAGTCTGTATTTTAGTGTCGACATTGTGTCCAAATCCGAGCGTGTGCCCTTTGCTGGGCCAGTATGCTTTTATGTTTGTTTTTTATTTCACAGTGCTATCGCTAGCTACGGCTGTTGCATGTTGTATCTAGCAGCTGGTGTATGCCATGCTTTTGTTAATGCTTGCCGTGTTTTTGCTCTGCACGTCTTCGAAGTATTTTTTAGTTTCGCACTTAAAAGTTACCCACTTTTCCTGGGTGAGGCCAGGTGCCTCGCGAAACCGCCGCCTCTGCATTTCCGGCTAAATTCTGCGCAAAAATAAACACTGTTAAATGATTAAAAAAAGTAGCTAGGATCCTTCAAAAGCAACAGCTTTCGGGTGCAAAACACGAGATCAATACTAAAACAACTAAACTAGAATGTGCAGTAGAAAGTTACATTTTATTAATCTGTTCTCGAAACATACACATACGGACACACACAAACAGCACAAAATTTTTGATAGGAAGTAACGGAAAACGGACAGATTACCGCAGCTTCGTCTTTTTTTCCAAAGACGGGTTTAAAACATACGCTGCCGCGCTAGAAGCTTTTGAGAGACCGACTATTCCCTGTACTTCGATGCGTCGTTGATTTACAAGGGACCATTATTCGTTGCTTTTCTAGCCAGGGCCCGATTTGATGAAGTTCGCCCGGTGTCTTCAGCTGAAAATGTGGTTGCTTTAGCGAAAGTGCAGTAACTTTAGTACAGGCGGAGAATTATGTAGTGGCAGTCGAAGTGCGTCGAGTTCTTGAAAATGCATCCCAAACAAAAGTCTGGGAAGAATGGGACTCGTGTGCTTGTAGACGGTGTTCAGCTAGTGTGTTGGCTTGCTACTGCCGCTGGTGGTACGGCTGTCTGCTCAGATGGATTTGTTTCCTGATTTAATGATGCGTAATGGCTTGTTTTCCTTTCGCAAAATGCTTTTTTTCTGCAGCTTCGCGTTGTGAAAGCATTTCGGTCATCCTTGGACGAATTCGAGGAGAAACGCTCAATAGCAAGCACGCAGTCATGCAACTCGATGCGTGGTGTTGCTGCTGGATGGTCTTACTTGTCACTTTCTGGAATAAATGCTTCTCGGGCGGCGTCCTGCGTTGCCCCGTTGCCTAGCCATACCCGTGTTGCATTAGTTACATTTATGCAGCGTGCAAATGCACCACAGCCTTACCCGTACTACCATTCCCAGCAGCCTCGTACACGGTCGCCGCCGATCCTGAATTGTACTGCTGCCAGTGATTCCACCGGAAATACCTTCCCACTGCCGGCGGCTGGGGATGGCCGTGAATTAGATACCGGTTTTGTGATACTAAATGAACAAATAGCAACGCCAGCAGTGGTTGCTCGTCCGCTTGAGAGAATGCCCCTCGTGCAGCGTTGGCGGCCGTCCGGAGCATCCGGCTACTCATCTCAGAGGATCGCTAAAAGTATCTCGCTGGATACTCCGGTCTCAATTGCTCATGTCTGAATACTGAGTCCAGTTTGAATTTTTTGCTTCACTGTTCTCCTCGATGTATCTCTGTTTGGCAGCCAGCTTCTGGCCTTCGCATTTGTCGTTTCATCCGTTCTCTGTACAGCTTCATGAAAAATGCATCGGTGAGCGGTTGCAGGTGTTGCTACGCAGCTGTGTACCGTTGCAGACCACTCTCAGAGAAGTTACATCCTTTGCGATAGTGACTGCTTAAAACCTTCATCCAGCTTTTATTTTCCATTGCACGGGTTATTGTAACAAAATTTTGACGTCAGCTAATATGCGGTCGCTACTTTTCCCGAAAAAAGTGGAAAATGGTCTCCTTTAAAGAAATATTTCTTATCCTTTTTCACTCATCAGGCCTTCAATAAATTTTTCTGTTTCATATTATAATTACTTTCATTTCTAACATGCCCACTGTCAGTCCTTGAAAATGTTTATGTTGTCTCAGTTATCTAAAATGCTGTAGCTTTTTTTTTTAAAATTTTTGATAAATATAAGTGTTTGCTTCGCGGCAGCCGTCTGTGTTACTCTAAGCTGCTTTGTCTGAAATACTTTTTTTAAGTCATACGTCGTTCAACTGCCAGTTTTTCGTTTTATTATTTTTGCATATTCCGGAAAATTTAATGGTTTTTTTTTTTTTTGGTTTTCATCAGCTCAATCTCTTCCCAACACAGATCGGCAAGGTCCTGCATGCTTTTACGGTGAAACTGCTTTTTCGAAAAAACGGAAACCCTAACGAAATCCAAAAAACTCATTTCTCGATGAAGCACTGTTGTTCTAGACTCGAGTCCTTAAAAATCGTGCTTTTTGAGTACAGTTTTCTGTTTGCTCATCAGATCTTATTTTAGCGCATTACGGTCTTAGGATCTCTTGAGCAATCTTTAGTTACAAGACATTTTTTGCTGTAAATAAGCTTATCTTGTTCTTTTTCAACTTTTTTGTTCGTTTTGGACGAGTATGAAGCGAAAACACGTCTTGCGAGAGCATTCTTAAAAAACTGCTTCCTCGCTTCCTTGTTCTCGAGATCACCATGCTTGCCTCAGATTCCATTGTCAGAAGCTTTAGATGTAGTGCGCGACTACTTTCTTCAACAGTGTTAATTAAAAAGCGTCTGTACTTGTATTTGCAATCATTAACGAGTACGTCTTATTGTCAGTGTAGCGACTGCTTTTCCCCTTCTCTGAGAATGTTGAGGAAGACGCAGCTTGTGCTGTTGCTGTTAGGCTTTTGCCACTGTAAATGTGTGTTAATGTTGCTGCAGGGGTTGCATGCGATTTGAGATTACTTCGTTTTCTGAAATTGAATCTCAGTTGCTAGGAATTTACTTACATTTCACTAGTTGTTTGTACTATTCCTGTAGATAGGGTCGTCATTAGATGTTTGTCAGAATTGTTCTTTTGCGATTAGGAATTTCTGCTGAATTGTTTTATGTGTATATGTCAGAAGGGGTTACCATCAAAATCCAGCGACACTGGTTTTTCCATTACTTTTTCCAATTTGCTTTACGTCTGTTTAGTTTAAATTGTTGCCTTTCAGCACAAATGTTGATAGGCTTAGTTTGACATTGCCTCCTCTAAATTTGTTCCACTTTATTTTGCATTTAATGTGGCCGGTTTATTCAAATATAGAACAAGAAGAGGCAGCGCTTTTTATTTCGTTCTTGCTCTGGATATGCAATTGTTAGACTGGTCATATTCTTGACATAGTTTACTTACGCCATGTACATATATATGTATAGTTTCTGCTACACCGAATAACAATACTTACGTGGGATCCCCTACATCGATTATTCAAATGGTCTCGACATTCTTGGTATAGATGTAGTTGTGGCCCTCAGTGTTTCATGGAAACATTACATTTCGAATTCGATTGTGGCATGCTTTACATAGTATTGGCCGGGAAGAAATTGACAGTTACCTCTGTCCCGTCCAAAAAGTAAATGTGCGCCAGAGTCTGCATCCGAATCATTGCATCTTGGATGTGCTAGAGGAGCCGACGAGGGATTCAAAACATGTCGTCACTGACAAGAGCGGAGGAGCGGATATTGGCTGTGGCGAAGCAGTGAAACAAAAGATATCTGAAGTGTCTTTTGGTAACTGCATAGGCAGCCAGACCTTGCGTAGGATGAAAGATGTCTAAATTGTCCTTGCTACCGCGTGGGAAAGTAAAATCAAGCAGGTTGATCTTTGCTAATAACCAGTGGGTAGTTTGTTTCAGTAATTGAAAATTTCGAGGAGGTAACTCACCAGTTAGGATGTGCTTGAAATGGGTGGTGGCTCATATACATGGCTGTGGACACTAACTGAAGATATGCAGATTTGGGTCGAAACGCCTGAAATAGCTACGTTCGGCAAGTGAAAGCATCCCAGTAACATCGCTAATATTTTATTTCTGCATTGATTGTCCGGGCAGTGGAAACACAACTTAAGGATTTCAAATTCAGCCTCCAGGTGTGTGTAGTTCTCCTGTACGGGCAGTTAAATTTTTTGGCGGGAAAATTGCTCGTTGAACAGCTAGGTCTTTTCAGAGAACGACCGCTAAACGAAAATTGTTAATATGAAGTAACAACTATTCATGCAGTTAACCTAATTCAAGTCTGATGCAAAAACGCATGATCGCATCGGCAGCTTAATGCGTTCCAGCTCGGGTTCATCTTCTTTGCTGAAATCGAATCATTCAAATTTGAAATGGTGATTTGACTTATAAGTGGCTATAAAGTTAATAGGACAGATGGTATAAGAACACCCTGGTTGCTTCTAGACCGCTTTCCACAGCCTGCGAATTTAACATTGCCAGGTTGGGGTTTCTTTTTGGCAGCTACAGGTTTGGCCGCTTCCTTCCAGCAGAATGCAATTTTTAATCAATAAAATTAAGCAGCGATGTAACGACATTTAGTATCGTGTAGAAATTACTGATACTGATTTGGGTAAAAAAACGCTACGGCTTCGTCACATATTCGTTCTTGCAACTTTTCTTTTTTGCAGTTTAGGGACTGGGTTTGGTTAAAAGTGATATTGGGAGGAATTTTAAATTTGTCGAAATGTCATCGTATTTTTCGTTCCCTGTTTTGTCAGCTAACAAGTCAGCCAGGTGGCAGGGTAACCGTCCTCAAGTTTTCTATCTTTTGTGCTCAATATCTTTAAAATTTTCTGGTCGTGTGAGAAAATTAGATAGTATATGTCATGAGGTCCATGACTGGTTGTTTGGGAACTAATCGCATAGATAACAATTCTTTTGCGAAAACTACACCAAATTGAGTTAGGAAACATCAGATTCATTCACAGAATCATTAGGTTCTTGAAGGCGCTAGACTAACTCAAGTTGAAGCCAGTTTTCATTTTGTGGATAAAAAAAGTGGCCTAGGAAATTGGAAAAACAAGAAGCGACATAATCTGGCTGAGAGTCCAGTGCGCATGTCTGTGTGATCTGGCTTTTTTGAACCCTCAGTGCGCGGCTGATATATTATTCCATTTCAGAGTATTACAAGAGCTCTAGGCTGATATATTCAGAAGGCATTTTGTTTTTCTTTTCCAAAATTCTTTGGAGCTGGAGGGTCCAGGTTCCTAGTGAGTCCATGCTCGAACAAATTTTGAACAAAACTGATAGAATTTTATGCGAGTTGCTATTGCTTTGCGTTGTGGTGCCCTGCTGAGGAGCAGTTTTGCGCATGGTTATCCATGTGTTTTCTGTGCTATCTGTTTCTGCTTGTTGGACGAGCTCCACTGGCGCTCCTGCGTTTGTTTCATGTCTTGTCCGTAGTAAAGCCGAATGTATTCTGAGCGTTATTGGTTGCGTTGATAATTGGACGCGCGAACTGGCTATCCTCACAGTGATTCTTGGCAGCTAATTGCAAAATAAAATTACTTCGTAAAACTTCGCAGTTGCATTGTGATTGTTATGTAGCAATATCACGCTCAAGGTCGTTGCTTATTGTTGCTTGTAACTTTCATAAAGCAGTAAAACTTGAAGAGGATGAAAGTCCGGAGAAGTGCATGCCGAGACAACGAGTCTTTCTTCTACGCGTTCAAAAAAAGAAAAAACCCATTTTACCCGCTACCTTCCGCTCAATAACACTTGGCATTCACTTTGTAGAATTCATGCGTAAACACGCTGACCAGTTAAAATAATGCCTTGGAAAATTAACTGAATTCAATTGTTGCTGCATATTGGTACAATTGACAACTCAACATATTGTCTCCTATAATTTAATTTTCTCGATTTGCCGACCGGTTCAGTAGGGCAGTTCCCGGAATTAGTGAACTGAAATCTTAGATTTGCGTTTTTATTCCCTGGATTTTGGTGCTCCGGGGTCAAAGGTTCTCTGGTGATCGGTATGTCCCCAAAAATCTTAACAGTGCCTGGGAAGTTTTTTATTGCCACGTGGAGTCGGAGACTGCGTTGTCTTGAAACTGCACCGTGCTGACCTAATTAAACGAGCAAAACATCCAGTCAGAAAACTCGTTAGGGACGAATATTATTTTTGAACTGTCCTCCATTTTCTGCATTAAAATAAAGCGGCATAAACTGGATTTTCTAGTTTACGTTGTTTTAAATGCACTAAGTCGACCCAAACATAGGCCTGACGTCAAGAGTCAAGTTACAACAAGATCCAGAGCATGATTTGAGGGCTCTCACAAGTTGAATAATCTTTAATTGCTTTCGGCCCTAGCCTTATATCCCAAGTTACAACACTAACTTAAAGTTGAACTTAAAACTTTGAACGCGGGAGAATTTGGATTTTGATTCTAGGTTTGTGGCCCTGTAATTGGTGGGGAAATATGTTCATAAAATTTCAGCTTTCTAGATTCCGTAGTTCTCGAGTCGTGTTGTTGAAACAGACAAATACGCGTGCATATAGAAACGTGGACTGGACGTATTGCACTTCTCCATTAATCGGATATGCATAAATGCATATTTTAAAACCGCTTGATTGGCTTGTACTGCTGATATGTCCATGCGGGTGTCTGCTTGTTTTTAAGTCGATGAATCGATCT